GAACGACACGATCTTTGTTTATTCTTCTTAGTAATTTGGACCTGGTCGGATAAGTCGGTATCCGGTCTTTCAATATTTTAAGGAATATGATCGCCCGAGTCGGTAAGGTTTATCAATGCGCCTTACCAACGCGATATATGAACGGGTATCAGCTCTATAAAGCTGAAGCACTTGGTGTAAGTAATGGCTTTACCCTATCGAGCTGAAGAACTCGGTGTAAAAATTCTTTCTTTCGTATTCTTGCCAGCTGGGAAAGTCTTATTGATTTTGACTAACCAGTGTGGGCCCAAACATATAAATGCGGTTGGTGTATTGTATTTATTTTTATTTATTCGGTCAGGTAGTACGTTCATGACCTTTAATGTGACTTATAGGGCATCAGCCTTTCCAAACGAACTTCAGGGTTTGGAAAAGAAGTGTTCATGTCAAGATGTATGTATGACGCGCGTATATGATGAATGTATGTGAATGTGTGTATGAATGCACAAATATATAATGAGCACGTGCGGGAAATAATTACTGTACGATAAATGATGTTACCTCGATGTTTCGTCGAGTCTGACTTTTTGCCGGTAGGTGCTGTGCCTTGCCGGAATATTGATCGTACCAAATCAACTTCAGGATTTGGCGAAAGAACATTATTGATGTCGGTTATTATTGTAAGCCCGCTAAATCAACTTCAGGATTAGCCACGAGGGGCATCAGCCTCCCCAAGCCATCTTCAGGGGTTGGAAGTATCCGGTTGTGTTGCATTTGGCCAGGTCATACCAACTTCAGGGTACAGACACGTTTAGCCTCAGCAACGAGGACCGATTTATCGAGGGTCCATTAACTGTGTTTCCCCATGGTAGGTTCTGTGCCTTGCCTCTTGCGGGGAAGACACACATTTTTTATGCACCGAACTATTTTTCGAGATTCGGCTCTTTTTAAATGGCTGGAGGAAAGGCTCAACAGCGAAGAAATATAAAGACGTCAGCTCAGCCGGAGTCGAGGCTCAACGGCAAGCGAATATGGACGTCGGTTCTACAGCGAGCGAATATAAATGTCGGAAATGAAAGATACCTCAGCGGTAATGCATAATTTTGGCCTCAGCATCGGTAAATAAATTCAGCCCTCGCATTCATCGGTTTGAATAAAATTCGGCCCCGACTCTCGTCGATTTGAATAAATAACTTTGGCTCCGACTCTCTCTCTCTCTCTCTTCTTATTTCTTTTTGATGGGCCAATTTAGCGTGAGGCCCAAATTGAACATTAAGTGGACTTTATCATCAAATAGCTGGCCAGCTTTTTCGATTCTTTCTGCTCATCGTTTTTTTCTCTCACAAAAAATTGCGAATAGGGCCTTATCTTCGAACCTCAACAATTGCAGCAAAATTGATCCGATTAGAGGACGGTGATCACGATTCGTCGGCGTCGATGTCGTGAATCAAAAGCCTAAGTACGTTGTGGTGGTCGGGCACGAATTAAGGAGGTCCGGCGATGGCGAATTCGACTGGAGGTGACGTGGTCGAACCCAATTTATGTCGGGATCGTCTTGAGAGGTCGTCTCTGGCGAGGTCGATTATATTGAGACCTCGGTGAAGGTGATGTCGGAGCGCGGCCGAGATCGGTTCTGACTGTGAATCGAAGGCTAATCCGAGATCCGGCAGCGAATCAGATGTGAATAGGTATGTTCGATTTTCCCGGGAAGTGCGTTGACACATCGGACGTCGGTGAGTGTGGTGATGTCGGTCCGATTACAATTCCCGATATCTGAGTTATGTTGTGGGGTCGAGCTTGTTGGTTCTGGTGATGTTGGCCTGATATGTTGAAATCGGTTCTGACCGAATTCGGGCCCCAATTTTGAGGTTAAACTCAAGGGTGCTGAGGTCGGAAATGCAAAAGTCCCGACATCACGATGTCGGTTTGTGGAAGTCGGAGTGCCGAAGTCGGGTGGCGACGTCGATGAGACGAAGTCGGTTCTGGTAAAGTCGGGTCGAGATATTGAAGTCGGTCCCAAGGGTACCGAAATCGGCCTAGCTTTGTTTGGTCACTATGCGGAGGTCGACTATTACGGGGTCAGTTTGCGGTCAGTGAAGTTGTATGTCGTCGGGTAAACCGAAGTCGGTCCGGAGAAGTTGAGGTCGGGCGTGGATTTGTTGAACGGGAGTCGTCCCGCGAGGTCAGACCGACGGTGAGTTCGGGCCCCAGCGGCTAAAGTTGGTAACACTGAGGTCCCAACAAGGAGAAATTGGTTCTGACAATTGAAGAGCCGAAAATCCATTTGGGAAGTCGGCAATTGCTTGGAATCATGTCGGCGAACAGAGGTTCTGAGGAGCCGAGGTCGGGTGAGTGCTTCAAGGTTGGTCCTGGCGTTTACAACGGTGGAGTCGGTCGCTGTCTGTTCGGTGATCCGAGCTCGAGTGTGATGGTAAAGTCGGGCTCCGAGGTGGTGATGTTAATCGGAAGTCAAGCCCGGTCTGATATGATGTCCACGATGAAGTGATGTCGGCCCCCAGCTTTTCTCTTCTCGCTTTTATCGCACGATATTTTGAAGTGATAAGAACAGTGTCTTCTTCGTGAATCTTCCATATTGGTTTCTGCTCATATCTTTCTGCAACTTGCAGAGCATTTTTTTTTTGAACTCGGTTGGTTGTGCACGACGTTGGAGATTGAGATGTCGGTACTCTGTCGGCCCGAGATGTTAAGAGGTCGGGCATGGTGGTTGCTCGGAGTCCCCGTCAATTGAAGTCGGTTCAAGCTACGGCAAAGTCGGTCAGGGCCTTTTTCACGTCGGATATACCGAAGTCGGTCCGTAGAAGTCGAGGTCGGTCCGATAATTGAGGTCGGGAAGACGACGAACCCACGGTTCCACATCGGACTTCACAATACCAATATAAACGTCGACACTGAAGTATATGTATGTGTGGATCCGAAACACATCTACTTCTTTTGGGATTTTTATTGCTTGGTCTGCAAGTGTTATCACAACAGGTGGATGTTGGACATGAAAGATCTCTGTATGAGCTCTGAATAGGATTTAGGATATCTGAAATTGGTTTTGATTTGTTTTGATATAAATAAGAGGACCAAAGGCCGTGATGGGCAACGTGGGTTTTCCTTGTTCACAAGGAAGTTGTCTCTTTGCTTTTTTCAATTTTAACTCACAGATATAATTGAGAAACAGAACCCAGAGAATAGGAACCAGAGAATAGGAAAATTAAAGTAGCAGTACAAATAAGCTTGCTATATGTATGAGAGATGATTCTTCGGCAGAGATGCGGTTAGTTTTCAAGAAGATTAACTAGAACAAAGTAGAGCAGCCCTTCCTCTAGCGCCAAACTGTTGTTATGTGATTTTGTAACAACATAAACTGTACACCCCGATTCCGTAAATCATCGTTGTAGGATTCATAGGGATTGTTAGTGATTTTTGGTGTGATTCTTGTGTAGAATAATTGTAAGAAAAGATTGAAGATGGGGGCTCAGAGATGATTATCTCCCCTGTTTCTTAAGCGGTGGGAGAGAGAAAAAATAGATCAGATCAAAATAGAAGTCCCTCAGAAGACCCCATTGTCCTTATCCATCATTGGAATTTATATATATAGATATTTATTGGGCCCGATATTATTACAAGCGGTATTATTCTTGGGCCTTAATAATAAGATAAAATATAATAATTGATTTAATGTATATCCACATGATTTAATGTATATATCCACGTGGAATATCTTAATAGGAGGCCAAAATTGGGTAACAACAACATTATAGTCAAATCGAATTTCTGATAGTTTTTTTTTGAAATGATACTTATTTTGAAACGAATTATCACTCATGTGCACCACACGGGTTGTGTACTAATTTTAAATAGACTTATTTATATAATTTAATACAATTTAAGTTTTATATAACATTTTCAATAAATTATAATAGGTAATTGTACTACATATTGATTCATATTTTTAATTTCTAAATATTACTTAATAAGAATTTTAATTTATAAATATTAGTGAATATCTTTTATCCGTGCACTGCACGAGACTCATACTAGTATATAATAAAATATGAATGACAATTACAAAACAAAAATTCAGGATTTACAGTATGTGCATAGGGATAAATTGGATTAAAGAGAAAACTAACCTTATGAAAGGAAAGATAAAATCAAAACCGAATTCGATTTCGGGCGCAAAGTAAAAACCTCACAATCAAGAGAGAAAATGAGTCATTAGACGTTTTGGATAGCCTGCTAAGCAGTGTCATTGTAGAAGACAAAGGAAAATGATTGCGCAAGTTGGGAATACAATCGAAGACGAATGCTAAAACGGAAAACATCTTCAAAAAAAGATGATTGCGCAAGTTGCGCAAGTTTTAAATCTATATATATAATTACTAATTGATGCATTTAATAAAATATATTTTCATTTCCCTTCAAAATGAGTTACATTTTTTCTAATTAATTACTTACTAATTTGCTAAAACCGTTAATCTTTAATATATATATTTTTATTATTTATTTTTTTTGGATAAGTTATTAAATTAATTAAATTTGGTCGCAAAATATTCAAATGTGTAACGGCTAATGTTGGAACTTAAATTGATTGACACATTCAACCGCCATATTTGGTTGCATTATTGGAAGAAAAATATGATTGACAAATATTTTTTTTTCTAAAAACCAGAAACACCAATTTTTTGTATATTAATTTTCTTAATTTATGCCACAAATATATAAATTATTTTATTCATGTTAATAATGTAAACGTTTCATGGTTAAAATAAAATTTAAATCTCAATCAATTTTGAATGATAAAAATAACTTAAGGAAAAATATTAATTTTTATATGATAAAAATATATGTCTAATAAATACAAACAAAAACGTGTTTTAAATCTGTGCATTGTAGGGATAGTGACTAGTTCTTTCTCCAAGCACCAACCTAAATTATTCAAAAATTATACACTCTTACCCCTCTCCTCTGCTCATATTTCAAACTAAAAATCAACTGAAAGTTTCGAGTGAATGGAAAGAGAGGAAGAAATCAGTGAGGAACAAAGAAAACGGGCCGACGCAAACCGGGCCGCTGCTCTTGCCAAACGCAAGGCCGCGCTCTCGAGCACTGAACGAGCCACTCATCTCACAAACAACCCCTGGACACTCTTCAAATGCCGCAAGCTCTCTCCCAAGGCCATCGCCATACCCAAGCAGCCCATTGCTGCTGATTCGATCAAGACAAGCGTAAACCCGGAGAAATTTCGCGCTCGGTTCGAAATTTGCTCGCCGGATTCTTTTTCAATCACTCCTGTTCATGTTGAGGGTTTTGTATTTCCCGGCGAAGATGTTTGCTTTCAGACGCTGAGCGATCGTCTCTCCAGTGTATGTTATTCGAAAATTTTCTCCAACCTTTAGAAAAAGTATATTAAATGTGGATGGAAGACGTCCTTGAAGAATTGGTTTTGAATTCCAAGTGCTGTTTGGTTTATAGGGGAACATGTGTACGAGTAGAATGACATAACATATTTATGATTCTAGAATCTCCAGGTGACATTTAGTTAGCATACAAGCATAAAACTTCACGGGTTGCGTGGATTAATGGTGATGCGGATAAAAGTCTAATTCCTTCACACTGAAGATCAAGTTCTGTAGTTTATTGATTTTGTGTACTGGATGGCGTATTAAATAAAATGTAGACGGGAAGTGTGGTGGTCACGTTACAGAATCCGAAGGAGTTACTTATATTTTTATTTGTTTAGCTTGTTGCAGAGCTAGAGTAGCCTTACTACTATTCTGCCCATCGAAGGTTTCTATAAAAATAGAGCTAATTCATTCTTACTAATGCTATTTTCTGGTGGTTCATCTAGGATTATAAAGCCTTATCTGTTACGAAATAACTGACGTGGTTCCTTTATTTCTCAGTGGTAGGAAAAATAGATAACTCTTTTCCCTAGGTGAATATATGGCGCTTGTCGAAATCATCTTTTTTGTTTTGAATGGGTTTTATTGCATTCTTCTTGAGCAATAAAGTAGTTGGTTAATAAATAATTATATTATTTTTCTGGATCAGGTTTTATCTCGCGACACCCAGACCATTGGTGGTGGCCAGTCCCGTGTTTACAGGCTTTATGATTATCACTTGGTCCTGAAGTCATTAAAGAATTGCAAGGACATTGAGTGTGAAGAGATACCTTGGGGAACCTTGAATGTTGTCGAGAGGCTTTCACATTCATTTATTGCTGGACGGTGGATACCTTGTAGACCTGAGCATCTCCCTGAAGAGAAGGTAGATGAGTTGATTGGTGAGCTCCCCAAACCTTTGTTAAATGCTTTATTACCTTTTCAACTTGATGGGGTTCGCTTTGGACTGAGGAGGGGTGGTTGCTGTCTCATTGCTGATGAAATGGGGCTGGGGAAGACCCTCCAGGTAGGAAAGCAGTCATGAACTCTATAGGCTGCTGTGTATTTATTCAGTTTCTGATGAGCTCTATCTATAATCTATACAAATTTTACTATCGTGATATAACCATCTGTATTTTGTGAAGTAAACTTGTTAACCAGACTCATTTTATGATTATAGAATTTGAAAAGGAGACTCTTGTTTTATGAGTTTGAGAATGAACTGTATGTCTGACGTTACATACCTTGTAAATAGTTAAATGATACAAACCTTGAAACAAGGGTGAATTGGAACACAAGCATGAGCAGATATGTTTTTGAAGTAGCGCTGTGAAGCATTTTTCAGAGATGCAAGGTTACAACTTGTTCCAGACGGGATTTTGCAACTTGCTCTTCAGCTTGTTTCTTGGAAGCCCCAAAAGTTGAAACTATGATTAGATCTCTGTTCTTTGGGGTTATGGTGAAGAAATTGTGAAGCAAAAAAAACACAATTGGAACTAAAACCGCTGTTGTGTGATTTCTCGCAGTTTTATGTTTGTACCTAATCATGTGATGGTTACTGCATCAGAAAGTGCTGTTCTATTCATTATGCACTTACAACTAGCAATTAAAGGACCTTTTTATCTGACGACTCATGGTTTTGTTTTAGGCTATTGCGATTGCAGGCTGTTTCATGAAGGAAGGTTCCATAGTAGTCATATGTCCTGCAATTTTGAGACATACATGGGCTGAGGAGTTGGAGCGCTGGTTTCCTTGTTGTCTGCCTTCTGATGTTCACCTAGGTATCTTTACAGAATGCACTATTATCAACATAATTGTTCCGTTCAAAATGTGGGATGATTTATTCGTTTCTAATATTTTAGTTCAAGTACACACACGGAGTAGTTGGTAGTTTCTTTAGCGTTTAACTCCTAACTTGAGTTATGTAGTCCCATTATCTCTTACTGGAACTTACCTTGATTTATTCTTCGAAAATGAAATATTCTTGCATTTGTGGCCTTTTTCTCCTTAATATTCTACAATTGAGTACAGAACTTGACCCAAGGCAGTTGTTGGCACGCTATAAATCACTGTACTACTTTTCTTTTGGAAAATTGAAAAGTGTAGAATGTGATACTCGAGAGTGATTGGAATTTTATGTGTGGTTTGACATGAAACTTTATGTTATATTATTACTGGCACAATGCCATTTATTGTGATTTTGTGTATCTAAACCATAGTTGTTTCGACGTTAGCTTACTACTGGTGATGTGGAATTAACTTGTCTTTATATCTTCTATTGGGTGCATATGATTTGTGTTGGTTATCCTTTCAGTTTTTGGCCATCAAGACAATCCTGCACGGTTGCCTAAAATTCCCAAAATTGTGGTGATATCGTACAATATGCTTCGTCGTTTGCGAAGTAGCATGTTGGAGCAAAAGTGGGCCACCTTGATTGTCGATGAATCGCATCACCTACACTGTAACAAAAAAGCAGTAGAAAATGATGAGGTTCAAAGCTTTCAAAGATGATTTTCTAGTCTCGTGAACATGGATACATGCTTGCAACATTCATATGGATCTAGTCGCTTTCCCAAAAAATTACTACATTAAATACTAGCTGATTGTATCTGGCTAATGACTTTCGTAATATTTCCTATCTCCGTATCTGTTTTATATAACTTATGCATTTATTTTTGCTTTTTAAAATTTAAATATGAATATGGATGATTGAATCAATCTGAATCCGATTTTTTATCAGGCATTTTGTATGCTTGTTGGCGTGCCTGCCTCTCATATCTATTGATTCTACTGGTACTTTGTTACAGACAGTTTCTTGGCTGCTGTCATGACTGGCATACTTCATCATTATTTCATTTTCATATAAGCAGTTGACGGATATGACATGGCTGCATGGCTGCTGTATTATTACTGGATTATTTGATCATCTTTGCCTTGGAAGTTATGTTAAAAATGTGTTTTTTCAATTTCCCAATTAAATCTTTTATGCAGTTGAACCATCGATGATATAGTTTGACAAGTTTGTTCTGCACTTAAAATATGTAACTTGATTTTTTTATTTATTTATTTTCTAAAATAATTAAGGTGCCATTACTTCAATTGATCATGCTAGTGGTGGGGCCAATTCAAAATTTTAAATGATCGTCTTTTATCTGTCAAAGAAGGGCTTGCATGAGCTTGCACATATAAATATCCAATACCGAGTCCGGTTAACTTATATGATGGTAGTGAACATGCTCATATAAAGATTATTGTCTTGGTCACCCTTTTAACATCTTCACTTTTGTGTAGCTAAAAGCTGTACTTGACATGGCTGCAAAGGTCAAGCATCTTATTTTACTGTCAGGAACTCCCTCTTTGTCGAGGTTGCTGAAATCGTCCTACTTTTTAGTCATCTTTATATATATTTCTGTTTTCACTTCTATAGACGTTATGATATCTTAATAACTGTCTACTTTCCCCATTAAGTTATCTTTGTTTGTGTCAGGAAATATTTAAGTGACACTAATTTGGGTTTCATGTTTTCCTAGGTGATAACAGGCCTTATGACATTTTTCATCAAGTAAACATGTTGTGGTAAGTTAGTACATCATTCTTAGCATTGAGTTTGTTGTAAACCAATTTAATTAACATATTTGTAATTTTTGTAAATTGATGCAGGCCAGGTTTGCTTGGAAAGACGAAATATGAGTTTGCGAAAACATATTGCTCTGTCAAATTTGCCCGAGGTTGTCAAGGAAGAATTTATCAGGTATTGTTTAGCTTCATATTAAGATCTGATGATATATGTTTGAAGGCAAAAATTATGGCCAGTTTGTGATATTTTCCTGACCGGGTCGAATAAAAGGGAACTTCTCATTTTGCTAGCCTCAGTCACTTAATTTTTCTCTTTACTAGCACGTGGTATTATTTTCCAATAATTTTTGTTTACTGAGCAATGCTACTTTCTATGTGTTATCATATCTCTGCTGCAGGATTTCTCAAAGGGGACACGCTTGGAGGAATTAAATGTGTTACTAAAGCAAAGTGTTATGGTAAGGCAGTGTAGACTGCGATTCTCATTTTACTTTAATGTTTTAACCACAAATATCGGCCTAGTTGGCCTCCGGGCTCTCCATTTCGGCCAAATCGACCTTTCAGGCACTCAGGATAAGTGTTATTAGGTGGGCTAGTTCCCCTTATTGTTTTTCTCCTTATTTCTACGCTTTTATGGACTAGGAAGATGCACGTGCTACGCACGTGATATTGTTTCTTTTTTTACTTAATTATTTTATTATTTCACCCATGGTATGATCTTCTACATCCTAGGTCTTCCCGTTCCGTCATCTGGCTTATGTTCTTCATGTAAATTTAATAGTATAATCTAATTTACTTTCCATTATTTAACAATAAAATGGTGAATTTTATAAGAAACAATAATAAATATATCGAATAAAAAAAATATACTATTAAATAGTATTAAACAAACTCTATGACAAATAAAATTAAATAAATAAATATTGAGTTAGAAATCCAAAATAGAGTTGATATTATTTTGTGAAATTTTATATGCTAAAGAAATTTATGTCGTCTTTGATTTATTATTTAATGATATCGGCATTATGCTGAAAATCATGACATTACAATTGTCAATATAATATAGTTTTTTAATGTCTTTCTTTTTCGTCATACTCTTGAAAAATAACTCTAATTTGATATACTATAATTGGTAATTATCATTTTTTATTGTTGATTGTATGCTAACACATTATGGTTGAATGTTTTGTTCTCTATTATTTCAATTATACGGTTGCAAATTCAATTATATTGCACTTATAATATTATATAATATTTAGATATATATTTTCTCTCTTGATATAATGACATAAGAGATATAAATATTTGAAAGTATCTTTAAAGTCATAATTATTTAAAAAAAGAAAATTTACTTGATGATTATTTGGAACAATAACATCCTTGATTAATTAAAGGTACTCATCTATCTATATATATTGTCGTAACATTGGTTGATTGAAAGAACCTATCGATATATATTATTCAAATTAAAATAAATTGTTGTTGCATCTCCTAACATTGTCGTGCATGCATTATCATTTTCGGATTTTCAAGAAACTATCCTTAGTGATAATTAAATAATTCCATTTAAATTAATTATAAAATGATATTTCTTTCATATTTACTTTTATCTTAAAATTATTTTATATATTTGTCAATATTTTTATAAAGGAAGTGATTTGAAAATTATAATTTATGGATGATTTTATAAATAAGATTGGCTAATGAAAATTAATTAAAACTAAATGTACTATTTACTTTTATTTAATTTATTTTAAGTACAACTATATATTTTCTAACAAGTATATGTATGAGTTTTAATATTTTTATTTTATTTTTATAATTACTCTATTTTTATTTATATTACAATTAAAATATATGGTAGATTAATTTATGTAAACTTAAATCATATTATGCATATTGTTTTAGTGAATAATTTGAACAAAATAATTTTATTAAGATTATATATTTTCACCTAAGAAATAATCTTTTTTCCACAAAAACACTGACTTTTTCTATATGTTGGAAGAGTTATTTTTCATTCAATCATTCTTAAACACATGCATGTTAAATATTTTTTACCTTTTTTTAATTTTTTTAATACAATCACCAAAAAAATCCATAGTAGAAATTAGAGATGATACTTTAATTGGTGCATTATATATTTTACACTTGTGAAATAAATTATATTTTATTATAAAAAAATATTAAAAATAATCTTTTTCTTACATTGAAAAACTACATTTTCCGTAAATATTTATTCTATTTTTTATTTCTAACTTACATATTTTTTTAGATAATCTTAACATCTTTATATCAACTAAAAGAAATTACATTATTGAATATGTAAAAAATATAATAAAAGATCATAGATAAAACAAATAATAAAGTAAAGTAGAATGAAAAATAATTGATTGAAAAAATGATTGTAACTATTAATATTTGTAACTCCCTAAAAGTTGTGGCAAAATTACATTATTTGCCTTAGAATTAATTATAGCATATGACATTTTTGGCAATTCAATTTTTTCAAGAAACAAGTCTCCTTTTTAAGATAGTTATTTGAAAATAAACTTCAATCCACTGAAAAAACATGTAAATTTATTTTGCTTAATTTTAATCAAACTAAAAAATAGGTAAATTGTTTATTACATAAAAGTTGTAATTTTACTTCAAAAAAATATTGATTATGAATGTATTAACTTGTTATACATGATGTATACTTCAGTGGGTTTTTACTAAAATTTGAAGATGACAGTGAATATTTATGACCATTCAGTTGTAATTAATATTAAAAATATATATTAGATTGGAGTTGATAGTGATGATTTGTAACTCATCTGCCCTCATTTAATTAAAAGATTAATACATTTTGAATAGACTACAACTACAATTATCTATCACATATCAAATAATCATATGTATTACATTAAGTTGGAATTACTAATTTGTATTGGAATGATAGAAAGTCCTAAATTATAGGCCCGCGGATTGGACTTAATTGAGAGGTTTGACTTGTCAAATCCGCTATTGAGCTTGTTTGGTAAATAGCTTATTTGATAAGCTTTTTAGGCCCAAAACTCTAATTTAGAAAAAGCTCATTAGAGGAGCTTTTTGGGGATAGAGGATTCACAATCTACAATTTTAATTTAGAACCTTTTAATTTGTATTATTTATTTTACAATCTACATTGGTTTATGATGCTAACAAATAATAATATGTCATCTATATGATTAATTTATCTAGAAAAATGTAAAATTCATAACTTCTTGATCAATTGTTAGTAATTTTTTTTTTTTTAAAAATAGATATTTATAAATTACCAACTAAAAAATATTAAATATTTTAATATATTATTATTAAAAAAATACACCCTAAATAATAAAATGTCTTTATTGGTAATTTGCAATGTCAAACAGCTATAAGCTTTCAGCTATTTACCAAACACTTATTTAAAAACCGCTAATGCAATCCGCTAGTCAAATCAGCTAATATAATCCGCTATCCGCTAATACAATCCGCTATCCGCTATCCGCTATCCGCTGATCGCCAAACAAGGCCATAGTTCCATTTTTTAGAATTTGAAAATGATAAACTCTATTTTATTTTTAAAAAATCTTAAAAATAATCTTTTTCTTACATTGAAAAACTACATTTTCCGTAGATATTTATTCTATTTTTTATTTCTAACTTCATATTTGTTTAGATAATCTTAACATCTTTATATCAACTAAAAGAAATTACATTATTGAATATGTAAAAACTATAATAAAAGATCACAGATAAAACAAATAATAAAGTAAAGTAGAATGAAAAATAATTGATTGGAAAAATGATTGTAACTATTAATATTTGTAACTCCCTAAAAGTTGTGGCGAAATTACATTATTTGCCTTAGAATTAATTGTAGCATATGACATTTTTGGCAATTCAATTTTTTTCAAAAAACAAGTCTCCTTTTTAAGATAGTTATTTGAAAATAAACTTCAATCCACTGAAAAAACATGTTAAATTTATTTTGCTTAATTTTAATCAAACTAAAAAATAGGTAGATTGTTTATTACATAAAAATTGTAATTTTACTTAAAAAAATATTGATTATGAATGTATTAACTTGTTATACATGATGTATACTTCAGTGGGTTTTTACTAAAATTTGAAGATGACAGTGAACATTTATGACCATTCAGTTGTAATTAATAATGAAAATATATATTAGATTGGAGTTGAGAGTGATGATTTGTAACTCATCTGCCCTCATTTAATTAAAAGATTAATACATTTTGAATAGACTACAACTATAATTATCTATCACATATCAAATAATCATATGTATTACATTAAGTTGGAATTACTAACATATCAAATTTATATGTATTAACAACATATAAATTAGTGGCATTCTATCTGCATCAATTTGTGATTGAACAGGACCAACATTTTAGAAGGTGATGCCCTAAATGGAACTACGTATACTCTTGTAATAAATAAATTAATATTTGTAGATGATGAAGAATAATAGCTAGGATGAGATTAATATAAATTTTATATGCATGAAAAATAATTGTATATGATGAAGAGAAATGGAAGAGTTAGACAACATATATTTATAAAAAAGAAAATAGGTGTGTAGTTGTAATGTGATTTTAATTTAAATTTATAATATTACGTTTATATCTTCCAAACAAAAGTTGCATTTCATTTTTGTTAAGGATAGTATTGGCAATTCAAGTTTCTATTTAAATGTGGTTGGAGAAGTTACAAATCACCATTATCAATTCTAATTCAATTCTAATGTAAAATCACAAATTATATTTATATCATTTAAAGTAACATCTTTTGAGGGTAGTATGGGTAATTCAAAATTTTCAAGAAATAACTCATACTTTTAAGGTAGTTATAGATATAGATATAGATTATGGTAAAGTGGATTTAAAAATATTAATAAGGTTCTATTGTATTTTTAGATGATTCGAAGATAATAAATAAAATACTTGTCAATGTATCATACTGGTTTATATTTCCAAAATTTGGTTTTGTTGGAATATGACTTGTCAGTTGTCTCACATTGAATAAATGAATAAATAGGAAAAATGGGCCTACTTTATAATTGTAAGCGTAGTGGGCTATTCCCCTGTTTGAGTATGAGACTGCATCCCTTCCCCCGAATATATAAATCCAATATGGTATCAAAGTACGCCCTAATATAGGACCTGTGATTACTTTGTTAACCGAGTTGAGATTTTGGACGGTTAAAGTACTCGCAAGTGAGGTGGAGTGTTGGAATGAGTTGTCCCATATTCACACATTGAATAACTAGGGAAAATGGACCCATTTTATGAGCTTATTGGGCTACTCCTCTCATCACCAATTGGTTTTTGGATGGAACTTCATTACGGTGACAACTAGGCTCGCTGTTACGGGCTAACTTTGGGGCCCGGGACGTGGCACGATCCCTTAGAGTGCCATGGTCCCAGACCCGAGCACAAAGGTGCCAGGGTTCGACTAAGGGAAGGATGCGAGCTGGACGCGTCCTTGTGGCTGAAGGTCGGGATCAGTTGGGTCTTCGTGGGGTGACGAAGACATATGTGCATTACTTAGCTGAAATTGTCCAAGTGTTGGTCGGATCATGTATGTTGGTTAAGTCGAGGACTCGGTCGGACGAGGGTTGCTGCGGGTTGTGCATGGCCTTGTGGTTACGTTGGTTTAACTCGGACGAGGGTGTTGGCTAATCAATCAAATGCATGGTTGGACTTAGGCGTATTCGGGCATGCGAGTGCTCCGATGATGCAGCTCGATGGGCGCGTGTGAGTGTGGCGCCGCGTCTAAGCCGTTGGCGGGAACGGTTGGATTTTGAATTGGCAGTTGGGTTGCACGTGGACTAGTTGGTTACTATGTCCCACGTGGCCTAAGCGGACATTCCTTCGAGTAGTTGCATGGCCGAGTGGGAACAAGGAAAGCAAGACACATGGCTGGGCGGTCTCCAGAGACACGTGGCCTTGACGGTTTTCTAACCTGCGAGGGAGTTGGGCAAGGATAAAGAACGACGGTTGGCGCCTGTTGTTACATGAAGCTGAGTTGGCATCAAGTGGATGCGTGCACGTGCTAGGGAGTAGTTGCGGATAACTGCCAAGCAGTTACCAAGCAGTTGGGACTGTGAGGTCTGAGGTCTATAAATAGGCCGAAGCAAGCATACGCGCGGGGGGGAGCGAAACACTTTGTGAGCGAGACTTTGTACTGTGTACTTATAGATGCGAGAGTTGGCACACGCCAAGTGTAATAGCGAGTGTGTGTAAAGCCAATTTCTGTAAGGCTGGTATATGTATGCATGTATGTGTGCCTGCGTGCACAAAAGTGTGGGTGTGAACCGTGTATGCGAGCTGTAGGATCTTCCTTTGTACTTAGTGTTATAAAAGTGCATTGGTTGGCGCGAGCCCGTAATTGTGCGTGTCACTATTTTACTTGATAGCTTCCGCATACACTTTTGTGACTTGCTTGCATAACCTCGATTGATACTTGTATGGGCGAGCGAAAGATTGAGGGACGGTGAAAGGCTGACTGGTTCGAGGGGAATCAGGCCGCATAGGGTGTTAAGGAGCGAAAAATTTTAGCCTCTACTAAGACCCTGTGACACTCGCCCTCTTAAGGTGCGCTTCACCGCTATAGGACCGCACCCATACCCCGAATATATAAATCGAATAGGTTTGATTATTTTTTCACTATTCTATGAATCATATGATGGACTATTGTTATGTGTTACAAATCTATACAAATCTATACGTGTAAGTATAGGATCCCAAGAAGGCCTTTTGCTGCAAGCAGCTCACCGCGGAACTAGCTGCTTGGATGATGTAGATCATTGGTTTTAGCTATGGCTATGTTTACTTGCTGAAGTCTTAAGAATTGCGTTATCTCTTGAGTCGCTATAATATTACTCTAAATTTACTACAGTCAATCATCTTGAATGAATAACAGCGTTACAGCGTTGTTTAGGATATCTTGAATTTCCACTGCTATCTCCTCACTTGAATGAATAACAGCGTTACAGAAGTGTTCGTCACTTTGTTGAACTAATTTTGTAAATTCTTAATTTACAGCATGGGGAAACCATATAACTAACCTCCTTGTGTTCTATTTCTTTTTGTCCTTTTCTTTGTATTTAATAAAATGTCGCTGATATCGATTGCACATGAATTACAGATAAGACGCCTAAAGGACAACGTTTTGCTGCAGCTACCACCCAAACGTCGTCAGATTATTAAATTAGCTTTAAGGAAGTCAGATATAAATTCTGCGATGGTGACTCTTGGGCTTGAAATTGGTGATGCGTCTGTGGACACTAATGCTGAAAGCGCTTCTTATCATGTTTCCGACAAAGATGAAGGTATTCCTTGATGTATCACTATTGTTGTTTTTTTTGTTGTGGTTATTGCGTCTACGGCCACTTATGCTGAAAACCCTCCGTATCTCTATTGATGTATAACTACTGACAAACATGAATTTGACCGTGTGCATGAAATAGACACCTATTGTTATTCTTATTTTAGCTGAGTGCACAATGGTTATATGCCATTTTATCGCTCTTTCTAGTTTATCATGTCGAAAATTTTATAATGATGATTATCTTACTAGAAATTGAACTGAACTCGTTTTCTTTATTGTTTTTAAAGATTCAAAATGTTAAGCGTCTGTCATTGCATCTCACGAGTAACATAAATGTCCCGTTTAATCTTTTTACCATTGCTGAATTATTATCCACATGGCTTGTTTTCCTGGCCCTGCAGATATTGACATGAATAAGAAATTGTCGCTTAAGCTCTCGGCCCTTGGTTTAGCAAAGCTGGCTGGATTCCTTGAGTGGCTCTCTATACATCCGATAATGGTAGAGGCAGATGGAAACGGAACCTCCGAAGAGAGTTCCAGCTCCCACAAAATGATAGTATTTGCTTATCACCATAAGGTTCTTGATGGGGTGCAGGTATGAATTACCTTCTCTTATTAGTTTTATGTTCGTGCCTAACACCTTATGATTGTATGATTTGAACAATTATTCTCTTATTATCTGGTTCCTTAACTTGAAATATCATGTCTGTCAAATAGAAAGAGGGGATAAGTTCTGTGTAATGCAAGTGCGAAAGACTTCCATATTTATAGAGGGAGTAGAGACTAGGTTATGATATCTGCCAAGAGGGCAGAACTTGCCCTTGCAAAGTTTTGGTATTCTCAAAATTTTGTACTTCATAGTTCATATCTCATTTGTTTGAAGTATTTCTGTATTGGGAAACTATAGGAGCATGATTAGATACAAAAATTTCTCAAAAAAATCCAAACATTTTTAACTCAAACCATTTTTTTAACTCAACTCCACTATCATCAATATTATCAATATAATTAAATAATACCAATCAATCATTCTTACACACAACATCACCTTAATTCACTATTCATCCACTCACATAATTTTAACTAACCATCACTTCAAATTTTCTCTTTCCTACTTTACATCAAATCAATTTTAATCATTTTATTTCAAATATTATTTTAATATATCCACTAACAATTAACCATACCAACTTTTTCAAAACTAACCAAACCAAACAAAAAAATCCAAACAAAACCAAAATTTTTTATATCCAATCATCCTCTAGGTGACTTTACAGTTTACAGAATTTTCTGGACTTGCGGATATACTTTTTATGGAGCAAGACAATCATGAAAAGATTGGGCTGTGAAAAATTCAGGGATAGACATGCTTGTAAATACTAAAAAGATCAAGGCAGAAGAAATTGCCTTTTTTTCTCGTAAACTGAAGTTGTGAGTAAGTGTTGTGATTGTTATCAAGTTTTATTGTTACGGTTCAAACGTTTTTGCTGTCTGAGTCCTCTCTGAACATCTCGAAGTACAATCTTTATGGAATCTCATAGCAAAACAGTCCCATGGTTGTTTCATATGGGTTTCTGCAATATGATTTATGACCTAATAGTTTATGAGACTTGATGTGTAAAGTTTCATATATGCTACATACAACAGAGCTTATGCATCTTGTGTTGAAAAAGATAAAAAATACAATTTTCTTATGTGCAAGTAATGAGGACATCTTTCTTGCATTAGTTGTTCATAAAACCTTGTGAACTTATGTTACTATTGCGTGTACTTCAGTCAACTGTTTTTTTTTTGGTGTTATAGTAACTATGCAGCGTGCTCAGATTCGTGTACTGATATAGATGTGTTTATATGTTCTCACCTTATGTTTTGTTATACAGGCATTTTTATGTGAGAAAGGAACTCATTTTGTTCGTATTGATTGCACCATAACTGGTAATGATAGACAGTCAGCTATCCAGTCTTTCCAACTATCAAAGAAGGTCTGCTTCTGTTCTTTTCATCATCCTTTCTAGAGTGTTAATGTCACTAGTCCTTCTATGGTATTTATGTTTAGTTCTTGACCTTTTCCTTTGGGTTGACTAGCTTTTGCTTTATGTAGTGTAGTACCTGTAGCAAACTTTTTCTTCTCTTTTTACTGCTTCAGAATCCCAACTGTATTTCCTAGTTTTATGGACCTGGCTTAAATTTCCCGTTAACTCATTTATTTCTTAGTATTTTAGTTCTGTACAAAGAACATAGATCTTCTTTGTATCAAAATGTTTTTTGTGAACTTCAACTTATGCATGAGAAAGTCAGTTGAGTTTTCTTTCAGGTTAAGATTGCGTTGATTGGTATTCGTGCTGGAAGCTCTGGGCTTAATTTAACGTCAGCAGATAATGTTGTGTTCTTGGAATTACCTACGACACCAGGAGATATTCAACAGGTACCTTTGACAGACTATGAAAGCTCTATGATCATTATGCATAATCAACCTACACAGGTGTGCTTGATTAAGTCAATCTCTTCCATGTAAAAAAATATTTTTCCTCTTGACTTTGTTCTTATGTTATGAATTTCCTTGAGGATTTTCAAGAAGCTGACAATTGTCATTTTCCAAAGTTTCTGTTTGTACCTTTAATCTACCACGAGGAAGTATGTGTAACTCTTTTTTCTGTTTCACTTAATCAGGTATATGGGTATTTATTGTCAATTTCTTCTTTCCATCATTAGCAGACTGTGACGGCATGGAAGTTCATGTTTATCATGATACTTCAAGTTTTATATATTTTGTGATAATACTTGTATGCCAAATACTGCTGCTTATAAATAAAACCATTTGAAGGCTGAAGATCGTGCTCATAGGCATGGGCAGACGAGACCAGTGAACATTTACATTTTTTGTGCAAAGGTGTCTTTCTAACATATAACATATCAGTTGGCTATCTTTCACAATTATTTTCTACGTAATTTACTGTAGAGGGGTTAATATTTTTCCATTCTCTTTGACTATCAGGACACTTCGGATGAGTTACAGTGGCAGCAGCTGAATAAGAGTTTGCTTTCTGTTTCCTGTACAGTGAATGGAAAGCATGACGCTATACAGGAAATAGAGGTATCATTTTTGTAGTGCTATATATTGATGATGAACATATATAAGCTTAGAGGGATCAATGCGCTCGTTAGACTTTCTCAGAGCAACAATACGTAAGGACTAGGGCATATATAATACTAGTTTTGAGTTGTCATATGCATGTTTGGTAGAAGAGACGGATGGACCAGATTGCAGGGTCTTGCATCAGACCAATTTATCCTGTTAAATTTGCCATTATATTTTTAATCTGCTTCTCGTTTCGTGAGGGATCTACCTGTGTATATCAATGCTCTTTGTTCTTCCCTTATGAGGTTCCTGAAACCGCTGTATATTAAATACTTTTATTTTGATCTGTAGCACTTACATTGGATGAGTTTTATTGCTTTAGCTTTATAGTAGTTATGCTTGTAGTTCCATTACAAACACTTCTTCTGTATTTGGGTCGAATCATGCTAGGTGGAGCGTGTTTCTTGTTTTGAGAACACCACAAATACGAGTGAGAAGGGGGACCAACCAATAAAATTTCAAAATTCTTGTTTAAATCTTGAGTCGCACTCGCAACTTCCAGTGGCATCTTGTGACACAAGCACGAATGTGCTCGATGCTAGTGATGAAAAGCATGAAAGTGGAATCATGCTAAATGAAGATAAGCGTGTCAGTGAAGATGAACTTGAGGTGAAGAGTTCTATGCAATCAACCCATCTTCGGTTTGAGGTAGTAACAATAATTTTATCTATAGATTAGCACATTGTTTTATCTCATTATTTTCTCTTTTTTTGGGTGCCTTTTTTTAAAGAAAATATATTAGTAACTTCAATGCAGTACATAGCTAACTGGAATTGAGTTAATGTAGAGGTAAACAAGCATAAGCAGAAAATGATGACAAGATCAATGTTGTGGAACTATGATCACTGTATTTACTTGATCCAATACCTATAGTTAATAGTCTGTACATTCTATAAAAACGGTTTTGATGCTGAGATTCTTTTTCAAGCTAGAATTTATAGTTCTCTCTTCAATGTCTAAGTCTCAATTTTGAGTTGGTATCAGAGGCCACGTCAGTGGGCCTGATCAGATTTTCTTGTCACTGTAGCCGCCTAATCATCATGCTCATTTGCCATATTCTGAGGATTATCATAGTTTTGTCCTAATTTTATGATCATCTTTGTGGTGGCCGATTTCGTTATCAATTTGGATCGTTATTTTACGCTTTCAATAATTCCTAAAAGAATCACATTGTTTATATTTAAATTGTCACTTGCATGAGTTACCATTTTATATTATAATAATTTTTCTAATTCATATAATGGAACTGATAAATTTATTTAGTTGGTATATAATTTTATTATTTTCCAATTAATCTTGATAGATAATATATTTTTTATTATTAATGTAAAATATGGATATTCATTTATTATTTATATATAGAACATGGATGTCAATATTCAAATCTAATATTAATTTGATATATCATATACTAAATTTTACAACAAATACGAAAGTTATTAGCTTTTTTAAAATTTATTTATAATGTTTGCAGAAAGTGTTATTATAAATTTAAAGTCTTAATAGGCATGGACATATGTATATGAACTATTCCGAAGTATCAGAAATTGACATATTGGATTACGAAGCCCCGAAAATAGATACATAGGATTACACAGAACCAGAAGTTTACACATAGGTTCGGAAAACTCTGCATTTATATATAGGGAGGGATGTATCTTTCGTAGTTTGCTCTTATATTAGTTTGTGTGTGTGTTTCTATATTATGTACACTGTTCCTTGGAACATAAGAATACAATCAGTTTTTCCTTTCTATATTACTTTTGTTAAATCTTACTTAGCAGTGCTGTAACTCACAATATAAGTTGTAGCACTCCTATCAGATTATTTTCTATGATAAGACCTTCACTTCTATATGGTATCAACAGTTGTTTCCTGAAATTTTTTGGATGCACAGGTAAGCCAACATACTGGAAGGATCCACTTGTACTCCTGTATCCCAGAAACTAATTCAAGACCAACACCGCTTTTTAAGAATTTTCGGCAAGAAGAAATCGAATGCCACTCAGTTGCAGAGATTAATGAGAAAACTGGTGATAAGTCCCCTGAAGATATTTCACTGTATATTGGAGCTCTTATGGATTTCATCAAGGAATGGAAGGAGCTCAGGCCGATTGAGAAGAAGAAATTGATGAATAAACCTTTGCAACTTCCACTGTCTTATGAACTCTGCTATTTGAATGAAAGCTCGACCCATGATGTTGAGGTATGCAAATGTAGTTTATGTTGGGTTTCTGTGAGTGCCTAACATCATGTTTCTTTTATATGCGGTGCTTTCTTTGTAAGTGCAATCTTCCAGTAGCATGAGCTATTCAAATTTCTTCTTTAATATAGTTGACCACAATTCTGCCTATTTTTTTAAGGGACTATTGAGAGGTGGAAGTAAAAGGCGTAAAACACCTGTGGCAGAGATAAGCTGTCCATTACCGTCAAATGCTTCCTGGAGAAAAGTCAGCCTAAATAGTGATCATGGTCAGAAAGAGAAACTCTACACTCAGGGTTGGACTGATGTAAATGAACCCCTCTGCAAGCTATGCCAGACTCCCTGCAGGTAGGTTATTGGTCTTACTTGATTTTCCTTTTTTATTTTCTCGTTAAAAATAATACAAGTTATCGATTAATTCTTCCATGGTAGGGGAATCAATGCTACAGTGCCTCAATATTTCGAGGACCTGTTTTGTAATTTGCAATGCTTTGAAGAGTATCGCTCACGAACTAGCAGTAGATTTCTTCGCCAGGTTGGAGTTAAATCACTAGTCACCACACATTCCCAACTTATCTTACTTTAACTAACTTTAAGACAATTGCAGGAGCTTTTCAAAATTGAGCATGGCATTTGCACAAATTGCAAATTGAATTGTCATCAATTAGTGAAGAACTTGAAAACTTTACCAATTGAGAAGCGAGAAGCGCATATCCAGAAAGAGGCACTAAAAATATCAAAACGCCATAAACTGTATGTTCAGCTTCTCTATCATCTGATTTATGAATTGAAGCCTTCAGTGCATTGCAAGCCTTTGTTTGAGAACTCTTGCCCTATACTATCACGATGACCTCTAGTTGTCTTCATAACAAATGGTAGTCATCTGTCCACTTTGAATAATCTACTCTTATTATACATCAACGTTGTGTTGTGTCCAATTCTTCAAACTGTTGTCTCATATTAATTGGAAGTGCAAATATTTCGTCAAATGTAAACGGCTTACATCATGATCTTCTCAAGTCATTGCTTCGGAACCCTATCATCATGCAATTTAATGATTCAATGTGGCCTTTTATAAATTTAAGTTGTAATACATTATATATTGCTTAAATTTGAAATGGAAAAGTATAAGTTATAACCAACTGAATATCACTTGACTTTCTTGTTATAAAACAAAAAAAACTATCGACGAATTTCTTTAAAAAAAGATTGTCTCAACAATCATTAATAGTAGCAGGTATCTGGTTAAACCTGATCTTGCTAGAGGTTCTTATGGCACTTGGGTTATGGTTCTATTGAAGTATTAATAGGCATGGGTTGTGCTTGTTGTGAAGGGATGGGGTATTCTATATTTCCAGAAAAATTTGTTGTGTTCCTATTCATGATTGAGATGATGAATTGCCTTGGCATGAAAGCATGTTGTGGCTTTTCTGAGACCCATTAGATAGTTCTGCAACTTTATAAGCATAGAGGTTAGCTTGAAACCCTGTTCTAGACAATCGTTCTATGGACCTAGGTACGAACGGCATGGTTGGGTTGATTGATGTTACACCATATCATAAATGAATATAAGTCAATATATTCATGTAAATATACATCAATACATGCATATCTATATCTATTCTATATCTATAACTCCCTTAAAAGTATGAGTTGTTTTTTGAAACTTTTGAATTGCCAAGAATATCCTCATAAAAAGATAAGTGTTAAGGTTATTAATGTAATTTTCTTATTTATGTTAGGAAGTCACAAATTTTAATTATTATATTTTATTTTTGATGCTTAATTATATCTTTAAGTTCTTACACATACAAAACATTACCTACACAAATTAATATATTTTAAATAATAATTTATTTTTAATTATATTATTCTGAATTAATCTACATATGATGTTAGGTTTCGATTTGGTTATTTTAAAGGCAGTTTTAAAATGTAAGAGAAAAAATTATTTTAAGATTTCTTAAGTAAAATATATGATATTTCATAAGTGTGAAATATATAATGCATCACTAAAAGTATCATCTTTAATTTCTAAATATTATATTGTTTACCATACAAATTTTTGGTTATAGTATTAAAACAATTAAACATGAACAATTTAGTGAACATGCATATGTTTAAGCTTGATTGAATCAAATATAATTATTCAACATACAAAATGTCAACTTTTTATTGTAAAAAGTTATTTGTTAAGTAAAAAAGATATGATCTTAACATAAATATTTGCTTAAATTATTCACTAAAACAATATGCATAATATGATTTATGTTTACCTCTTAATAGTATGTATAGTATAAATGTTTTTTATAATAATGTGTTACATGAATTAAAATAGCATTTACTGAATTGTAATATAAAAAAAAATAGATTAATTACAGAAATAAAATAAAATAACTAAAATTCTATTTTAAATCTTGAATTTTATAATACGTGTACTTATTAGAAAATAGTTACAATTAAAATTAATTAAATAAAAATAAATAGTGAATTTACTTTAAATATGAATCATTCATTAAAACTATACTCATTAAATATTCACATTTAGGATAGTCTTGAAAATATGGGAACGAAGATAATGCATATATGACAATTTTAGGAGATGCAACAATAATTTCTGTTAGGACAAGATATGTAGATAGATGAGTATCTTCAATCAATAAAGATGTTATTATTCCTAAGCTCTTTCATGTATTTTTTTTTTTTTTGAAATAATTATGACTGTAAAGACATTTTCAAATATTTATGTGTCTCTTATGTCATTAGAGAAAAATTATATATATTTAGGTATTATGAAATGTTATACTTGCAAATATGGCTAATTGCAACCACTATAATCAAAATAATTGAGAACGAATTATTCAAACATAATGTTTTAGCTTCCAATCTACAATAAAAAAATGATCATTACAAATTATAGTTATAACAAATTCGAATTATTTTTCAAAGAGTATGATGCAAAATGATGACATAGAAAACTATATTTGATGACAATATTAATGATAATATTTTAAGCAAAAGTAGGGATGAAATGTTGACGAAGATATAAAAATAATGTTATGATAAAAATAAAATATGAGAGAATCATCATTACATAATTCATTTAAACTGGAATTAGTAATTATTCACATTTAGGATAGTCTTGAAAATTCGAGAATGAAGATAATGGATGTATGACAATGTTAGGAGATGCAACAATAATTTATGTCGGAAAAGATATATAGATAGATGTGTAGCTTTAATTAATAAAAATGTTATTATTCCTATGCTTTTCAAGTAAATTTTCTTTTTGAAATAATTAGCTCATTACGACTTGAATTAAAGACATTTTCAAATATTTATGTATCTCTTGTGTCATTATGACTAGGGAATAACTATATATATCTAAGTATTATGAAATATTATACTTGCAAATATAATTACACTTGCAACCACATTAATCAAAATAATTGAGAACGAGTTATTTAGACATAGTTTGTTAGCTTCCAATCGACAATAAATAAAAAATAATCATTATAAATTATAGTTATAGCAAATTTGAGTTATTTTTCAAAGAGTGATGTAAAAGGATGAGATTAGAAAGCTATATTATGAAGACAATAATAATGATCATTATTTTAAACACAATGAAGATATCATTAAATAACAAAATCAAAGACTATAAAGTTTTTTAGCACTTACATTTTCACTAAAAAAATATTAATTTTATTTTTGGTTTTCAACCCAATGTTTTTTCTTTTTCTTTTTTTTTTTAATAATTTTATTCATCATAGAGTTCAAATAATAGTATTAAATACTATTTTTTATTATTCAATAAAATACACCATTTTTTGTCAAACTAAATGAAAGAAAATTATATTATACGTTTAAATATAAACCTAATACTAAAAATAATTTGAAAAAAAAAACCACGTGTGTAGCACGTGCATCTTCCTAGTATTATTAAAAATACCAAATACATTACATAAGACTATAAGAGATAAATTACATCAAGATATAGTATATTAACCGGGAGATAAATGTATTAACCAAAAATAGCGAATTATGAGTACATTAATATAAGAATATTATTAAATATACATAAATATCATTTTATATTATTTAACAATCTGGCCATTGTCTCTCATCATCTATATGTGTGAAGTATTCTAAAAGTTTTCCAGTCTACGGTCGGTTGCCTGAAACTCCTTGTCTGGTGTGGGGAAAGGTGGTTGAATTTAAGTTGACCTTTATTGAAAGGAGGAATCAGATTGAAGGAAGAGAATAGTTGTGAATTGCTTAAGAAAGACTCTCAGCAAGTTTATCTTAATATAGGAAAATTGTACAAACTATTATGTCTCAAGGGGGATGAAGATCGAATGTTGGCCGTAGTTGAGAAGGTGTGTGGCTACAACAATGACTAATGAATGGATTTTGGGGTTGGAGAACACACGTATAGTAACTGAGCCTACTAGGGTTATTGGGCTTGCAGGTTTAATTAACCATTACAAGTCTTGGGCCCAAGTTGTTTAGCCTAGGTGTTTGTGTAACCCGTATCATAGAGACCCAAGTATTCATCAAGGTGATTAGCTGACCATAGGCAATTTTTATCTTCCAGCCAAGAGATTGCGATTTTTTTTTGGAACGATAGAAATATATTTTGACTAAAAAAAACACGTAATTACAACTAGATATCAGCTTAAAAGCCAAGCTGTTTGAAATCCAGGAGGCCTAGAGAAAGGTAGCCTAGAAGCAACTACACTAACGCAAACACAGAATAACAAATTATACAGCTCCCAGGTGGAGAATACAAACTCCTAAAGAGGAGAAACACGCTCCGAAATAGGAGAATAAACAACACAACAACTAAAACACAAAACAAACCACAAACACCAAAAGACACGCACAAAGCTAACCTTAAAAGCTAAATAAAGATACCAAGGCCCTCCTCGACCGCCATCACACTACCGAAAACTACCAAGCGACAAAGTTCCCGACAGAAAGCAGAAA